TACCTTAGATTAAAAAACAAACAAACCTCTCGGTGAGAATCAAGTGTTGCTGCTGATTGTGGGAATTGTCACATTGAATCCTCCATAATAACACAAATCAAGAAGTACAATAGCAAATAGAGCAACCAATTTCAACATTTACTCTTTGTGTTTATTCCCATAACCGAGATAGCCCTGTCTGCACAGGCCAGATAAACTGGCTTTGTCCCAGCTTCTCAGCAGAGAGATCAGATGACACATGGCCCAAACCCCGTATCTGGCTCGAACAAACCAGACAACATCCAACTTGTTCAGCATCAAACCCAGAGTATAACACCCTTAATATGGACTTAAACATATCACCCTTTGCTCTGGATCATCTGGGAAAATCCAAAGCCTTCCATTCCAACACTGGATGACTATTTAAAATGCATCCCACTGAGCCATCCCGCATCACTGCTGCTGCCACCAGTCACTCTTTCTGAGGTCAAAATGAGGTGTCCATCCAGATGATGAAGACTGGGCACCTCATTCTGACTTTGGAGAGAGCAAGCCACCACAGCCGAATGAGTCAGCGGCAGGACACCCATGCAAACAACTACCCAGCATTGGAACAGAGGGGCCCAAGTAATGGGGGAGGACAGAGCAGTTTGGGGATCAAGATACTCCAAGCTGTCCCAGAGTAACTTGGCCAGTGCAGACAGGACCTTAGTTTGTTTTGGCATAAAAAGATATGGAGGAACCCTGTAGCACCCTTGAGATTATCTGGGGGAAAAGAGTTTTCCAGCATAAGCTTTTGTGGATTTCAGTCCACTTCACCAGATGCACATCCTGGGAACTGAATATTTACCATTGTTAGGCTTGTTATGAAGATCTGATTCTTACAGAGCCCTGTACAACATCTGGACTTGGCTTTTGCCAGAGTTTTGAAAAGTTACTTTTCAGAATCACAATTGCTGGTAACTTTTTCAAGCTCTAATATAATACACCAATATCTTTAATAGCACATTGGTCAATATTTAATAAATAAGACCAGTTGTTTTGTAGAAAAAGAGGTTAATTTTTCTGAGCTGATTTGTAAGAGGCATCTTGAATGTGACAACTATTTCCCTGCACAGAAGCTGAAGCACTGTGACAGACAAAGCTCACATAGTGCTTTACTGTTTATGTCATTGTGAGCTGAAATCTTGGCAGAAAGAGAAGTATAAGAGTTCTTTTACCAATAAAATAATGAACACACATATTTATTATGGTTTTCTTTTCTTCTTCTTTTTCCAGAGAGCCTCACAGCTTTCCAGTGTTCTCAAAGAAATAGCAAAATTTGAGAAATATACCAATTTTGATGTTTTCTACATGGATTACCCAATTAAAGAAAGTAAGTTAATGTACCTAAGGAATACACAGCTGTCCAATGTACATCATCTGAAAGTAGGGTAATATCTACCTGCTTAAAGAAAATAAATTTCAGTTCATGTTGTTAAAGAAGAGAAAGATATTTGATGGCAAATGATATGAGGAGACCAAATCTTAAAAGGCTAAAAACTGTATCCAGTGTGTGTTCAGAAAAATCCCAGAAAACTAAGATCTTCTTCAGGGACTGGGGGGAAAAACATATCCACATCTTAAAATTACATTTTTCATTAAAAATATTTTGCTTAATATTTTTAAATAATAAGTACTCTATAATAGGTATACCTTATCTTCTTATCCAGTAGTGACTTTTATAATATTCTGCAGCCAGCAGCATACACACACACATCATGCAGATGTCTCCAATAGTCAGCTCAGAGATTGTTATTTAAGGAGCTCCCTTGAGCTATCTGACTGTGCACCTACATTGTCTACTGCTGTGCAGAGTGAAGGTATACAAGTGTGGTATGTATCTTGATATACCTATGAACTGGGGACCAGAAGTCCTCTTTTCAGTATGATAGTATTGAGTAGCCCTTTCTTCCGTGACATATATCTCCACAAGAGCTGTGCTTCCAAAGCTTCCAAACACATTCTATATGTATATATACATACAACACAAACCAATATAGGATTTATATATACATTTCCCAACTTCATACATAATGGCAGAACCTTCTGGGTTCTGACACATGCCTTCTCATGATGTGGCCAAAGTATGACAGCCTCAGTCTCATCATCTTAGCTTCCAGTGAGAGTTCAAGTTTGATCTGTTCTAAATCCCATTTATGTGTTTGTTTTGGCTGTCTGTGGTATCCTCAGCACTCTTCTCCAGCACCACATCTCAAATGAGTTTATTTTCTTTCTGTCTGCCTCCTTCACTGTCCAGCTCTCGCATCTGTACATAGCAATGGGGAATACAAGGCTTGGACATTTCTAACTTTAATGTTAAGTTGTAGATCCATAGAATCTTATCTAGTTCTTTCATAGGGCCTTTGCAGACTGCCAGAAATAGTGCACATTAAATTGAGGCACTGCCCTAGCTCAATGCTAGGGAATCATGGGAATTGTATTTTTTTTCTGAGACATTGAGCCTTCTCTGTCAGAGAGCTCTGGTGCCACAATAAATTACAGTTCCCATGATTCCCTAGCATTGAGCCAGGGCAGTGCCTCAATTTAATGTGCACTATTTCTGGCAGTCTGCAAAGGCCTCTAGTTGCTCTTCCCATTCCTACTCTTCTGATTTCTTAACTGAAGTCTCTTGTCTGGTCAATATTTGATCTGAGGTACAAGACATTTTTTTTCCATTTTATTTTTATTCAAAATAATATTTACTATATTTATATAAAAAACCACTATTACACTATTATTTCTATCACATAGTTCTATCTACATATTTACATAACTTCCCTTAGTTCGAAACACCGTGAGTACATTTTATAAAAACTTTTCTATATTTAATCTCTCCATCTTTATATTCATATCTAAACCACTCTTGCTGGAACCATC